AAAAGCAGAAAAAAAAACAACTAGTTTACTACAACAATTGTCTTTAACACATATTTATTGCACAAAACAAAAAAACGAAAAATTAAAGCCATAGACGAAATCTTGATATTTCGACATCTACTCGACTATGTGGAAAACGAGCTTGAACCATTAAACGATAAGGTTCTACTTTTTTGTAATGAATTTCACCATAAATATCAAGAAAAGTAAAATCTTTTGATTTGTCGATCAATTGACAAAGATCTTCTTCAAAGACGACCACATGTTGAGCTAAAAAAAACAATTATATTATTAATTTAATTTCTCATATAAAAGTGTTGTATTTCTATGTATGTACCAATCGATTCAGGTTTTTCTAAAGATTTTAGCCATCGTCGACGTAAAACATCATCGTAGTGTCTTTTATAATCTGGTCGAACTGAAATAAAGAAACACAAAATTATTTTTAATTGAATCTCTCGAATATATAATTTATCAATATAGATTGTTTCCTTTTCTTTATTAAACTAAAAAGATCGTTTAACAAGATCATTTTTTTCTTTGTCTTTCTATTTTCAAAAAAAGAAACACAATATTCGAAATAGATATATGAGATAGGACGTTGTTTCTTCGTAGTTCCCATAATAAATTTTCTTTATTGACATCTACAAAAAGTGCTGACAGATTGAGAAAAATATCTAAAGAGTTCTAAACAAGCTCATTTAAAAAACCCTAGAAATCCTTTTAGAGCTCTTCGTATCTCTCCATATGAGTTCTTCAAAGAGATCTCTAAAGAATCATGAAGAATTTTTCTATGTTTTACGAACTTCAAAAGAATTTTATCAATCTATCTGGACTCACTCTCGATTGTTACAGAGTGAATTGATTAGGTTGATTTTATTCTTTGCTCAATTCTATTGAGCAAAAAAATTCCTGTGAATCAGATTTTTATCTCTATCATTTTCTTGTAATCATTGCTTGTCATCAGAAGACTTTTAAATTTAATTAATATTTTGAAGTAAAACAATTTTCATTAATTTTCTATTGTTTTTTTTAAATAAAAATATACAAAACTTACAACGCCTATTAAATAATGAAATATATTTCTGTCTATCTTGTTTTTTTTTTAACTTACAATCGATATCAAAATTATTGATAGAAATAAATTAGAAAAAGATTTCCATAGAAGATTCCACAATTGAAATCATTTTGACTCTTTCAATCACAAATGATTACTCAATTTTTCCAATAAACACTAAAGCTTTCAAAGTATTTCATTTTTTTTCTCAAATGTTAAGTATATATTACATAAAACATTTTCTTTTTAATGGAACAAGATAACGTATAATTAAACATTATAGAAAAAAAAACAATATTTTTTATGAAATTAAACTGTGTATTATTACAAAAATATTTGTTTAATTAATAAATAACAAAATAAAATTGACAAAAGTTAAGGAAATTAAAAAAATGGAATGATATTTTGTCATAACTCATTAAAAAAATTTTATTGTGATTGTTTTTGTTTCTTTAAAGTAAACTTACCAGTTGTCCAAGGAAAATCATCTGGTCGCCAAAGACGTAATGTTTGTAAATGAGGCATATATGTACTAATAAAAGGTACAAGACGTTTGCCAATATGAATTGTTTCATAACCATTATGACAACTCGGAAGACAAAATTCAGCATATCGTACAGTACTCAATGCATTTATTCTTAATTCATTAGATGCCTAAATAGAAAACGACAAACAAGTAAGTAAATCATAATAACCTATTAGACTTAGTTTGTCAAATCAAAATAAATAATCTAAGTAGAGATCTGCAGGACAAAGATTTACGTTACCGGAATCCCATTTGTTTCACTCTGATGCTCTTCAAAATTCACAAATGGGGTTATTCAGAATAGAAGACTGTCCTACAGGTCTCTAGTTCTCAAGTGGTACACAAAAACAAATAGCTTATCGCTATGTGTAACCCATAATCTTTGACTGAAATATATATGTAAAGCCAAATACTAATGAGAATCATATTTTTCTCTAATACTTCTAGAAATGTTTACTCATAATTACAATAAAGATTTGATCATCCAATTCATTGATTTCAAAATATATTCAAGAATATACACAGGGCAGTCAACAAGTAATGAGAATGGTACTTTAGTTTCTTATAAGAAGCTTTGAAAACCTTTCTTTCTATATGGTCTAATAGAGAAAAGAATGCTCTATTTTTTAATGCTATTTGATTATACTTCAACTAATCTAATGATAATAAATTTTTGGTAAGACTTTT